GAACTGGCCTTATGGCAGAGAAGCGAGGCTTTCCACATTACACAAAGGTGCGGGTCACTTTAACGCTTTTTCTTTTAGCCTTAGTTCTCTACAAGTGAGCGAATTAAATTCAGTAATTAGTCCGTCACCCATTGGAGACATGCTGAAGCTGAAAATAGTTGTCTTGAGATGGAGTGTCTAGCGTGGTTAGACACCATCGGCTAGAACGAATGCTTCAAATTAAATTTTTTTTATGCAAGTCTGATGGAAACACGAAGTGGAGCGATGCCACAGATAATGAAAAACCCGTTCTAGTTTAAAAATTTCGTTGTATTTCGCGAATTTATTTCTCACTCTCATGCAAATTAATCCCATTTATTTTCCCGCATCTAGAACCAGCAAAATTCAAGGAATCCATTTTTTTACAACTGAACAATTCGATATTTGAATGCAAATATTTTGGTGGCGAAATATTTGACGATATTTATGGACAAAAATATGCCTTAACATTTCAGCGGAGATTTAGATTTCCACTAGCATGTAATAGGATCATGTGCTCATGGCATGTCAGTTTGCCACTACCTCGTCGCCGAATTAGTGCAGCATCTCGAATCCCGATTGCAATTTCACATGTTTGAAAACGATACATCGCTGTAATGTTTCTTTACCTTCAAAATAGGCTCGTTTTTAGTCGATCCTCCTTAATACTATTTCCTTGAGAGCATATTCGGCCTTGGCTGCATCTGCATCGTTGTCACCTTGGTTTTGAGAGGTATTTGGAGTACTTTGCCGCCACATTCAACTCTCTGGTGCATTCCCACTTTGTAAGTAACTGGTAAGGAACGCTTCTTCAGGCACAGGTGTAGCTTTCACTGTCCGCATGTAGTAATGGATCTGAAACGATGATTTGGAACGTCGTCGATTCTAGTGCGTTTTATCAAAAGTACATAATGAACTTTTTTGCACTCTTTGATAAAGGTCAACTTCTTGCAAAATTTACGCCTCTTCTCAAGGGTTTGGCTATTTTTTCTCAGTTTGGAAAGGACCGTGATCCTGAGTCGGCCGGTGGACTACGTTTTGCCTCACCAATTATGAAGAAGGTGAGCCGATCGCATCAGGATAGTCGGGATGAGTCGCAGCTGACGTCAGCGTATAAGGACTCCAGTGAGATGAAGGAGTCACTTGAAGTGCCACTCAGCCTTTCGCTAGCTTCTGCTACTGGATACAAACCCTCGAAACCAGGTGCTGTCTCACTGGAGGAGAGAGCTATCTCACCAGTATGTGCACTGGCCTTTTTTTTTCAAGTAATAAATCTCCCAGTGATTAAGTCATTCTGGGGATTCTTCATTTCTCGTAAACTTTTTGCCGAGCTTGGTTGGGCTAGGTTTTATAACAACATTGAGACTGTTTGACAATTGGGAAGCAGCAAGCCAGATGATTTAGCTAAATCATTTAAGGCATTATTTTAAACGCAAAACTTCTGCGTTTTATTAACGAGACGCCTAGTTTAACCATTGATGGGAGTAAAAGCGATACAGTGTGTAACTTTTTCGCTTACAAATTGTTAAATTGTGTTCATCATGTTAGTCGAAAAAAACATAAATAAGGCTTGTTGCATGGAACTGAATGAAGCCAACATATTTATCTCAAATGGAGCCCTTTTTTTCGTGCCTATTTATTGCATAATTCAAGCATTGGGCCTCGCTCAGAGACACACTGCAAAGCCCTCATTGCTCGGATAATTTACTCCTCTGACCGAAAATGAAAGTGGAGTTGTTTGTATGGTTTCCACTATTTTTTTTCCAAATACCTTTCTCGTGTCGTGCTAATGGTGAGAAGGAGAGATGAGAAATGTCGAAATAAGCCTGTCTTAGGGTAAAAGTACGCCGAGGGTTTCCATCGAACACACTTCACTCGTAAAGCATGTTTATGCACACGCTTAAAGTCACACCTCCTGTCCGCAGACAAATGGATGCATTTAACAAATTTATGTTTTTTTTTTTTTTGGAAATTCACCTTTTAAAGCGATTTCCAGTGCTGTAATTAAATGGCCAACTTTAAGGCATTTGTGCTTGCACGTTTGCGTGCGACACTGGGGCCTTGAAAGATACTGAACGTGACAACTAAAGCCGTTGGACCCTCATGCGTCGGCAGTCACCTCACAATGGTGCGCGATCCTGACCACACACATCGTCCACCTACCTGCACCAACATTATGGGGAAAAAAATAAATTCTGTTATGCAGGTTGTGGCATTTTAGTAGAGTTGGTACGGGTCGGCGTTCTTCCCGTTTCTGAGCTGTGATTGGCTTTGGGTTTTGTTGTTAATTACAGCGATACACCGTTGGTGGTACCACACAGACTCCTATTTTCAGGTTTCTTCATCCTTACTACCGTAGTTGAGTTATCACTGAAGTTCACGGTTTTTGGGCAAATGCTTTCTAGCTAATTGAGCTTTGGAGAGGAGTAGAGGTCATCCATTTTGTTTTATTTTATCAAGCAGTACGGATAAATTATCATCCTCAGTTGAGCATTGTGCTTACTGAGGGAAGCACACCTAACGCCTGGTCGATGTGGTGGAACTTTCAGTGGTAGAACAGGCTCAAGCTCAAATGGTTCCCTTTCATCCTCTGTCATTTGTTTTGGATAATGAATACTCTGCTTAAAACATCCCCAATGAATATGCAACGAATTAGTGCAGCTCATATTGTTATTTATGTGCTAGCTCATCACTAGTATTTGCCATCAACTCTGCGTCGATGAATTCGGTTAAAGTGAGAAAAGTTTGCAAGTTAGCAGAAGTAGGCGAACTTCGGGGGACGAGCATTCGTTCTCTGTTCTGTTAGCCAAGATAATTTTAATAAAAGTGGGTTGGGAGAGATGGCATTCACTTTGTGATTCTTTAACTCGGTCACCTTCCCGGACACAGACTACGTGCATTATTTATGCAGTAAATTGGATTTACTTCAACTTATTTTTACCTCTTCCTGTTAGTTTTCATTAAACTCTTGCCTCCAATCCATTAAGCGATTGAAAATTTCAGCCAACGGTCTCCGAGGCTGGATTTGACAAGAAAGGCCAAGGGGAAACTCGTGAGGTGTCAGGGAAACTGGAAGCTCCGGGTAATCTTTTTTTGACCTCCCATCTGCATTTCGTGACTGAGGAGTCTTTTACCACCTTTATTCTAATCAAACTAAACTACGCAGTTGGTTATGCTTTGTAGCGACGTGAAAGTTGAATTTGTTGTGTTTGCGATCTTATGACCACGGAGAAAGGTTACTTGATAGCGCCAATGCTAATGTTCGTAAGGAGATTTGCAAAGAAAGTGTAAGAATGGCCTAGGTGGTTCAAAAATGCCTCCTTTCATACTCCTTGAGGTACTTCTTTCAAACAAATCACTTTCAACTTGATTTCTTCAAATATTCTCTTCCTTTCAACAACATTCCACGTTTACCCTCGAACGTTAGCTCCTCCTAAGTCCCAAAGCCTCGGCCTCACTAACGTAGGCAGTGAAGAAATTCATCCCTCCTGACTGCATAAAACTCATGTGGTGTGCGCCAAAATGTCACCCTTTATCGGTGTGATTTCTCATTTTGCACATAATGGCACATCCTGTTTCACGTAATTAAAGAAGCGCATCTGTCTGCACCGTGAAAGTGTTTTCCTGTTGTAGGTGGAAAATCTGCTGATTCTACCGAACCTCTGACGGCTCGACTACGCGCTGCGTAAGATCTCGTGCTTGCAAGAAAAATATTTTTATGCCTGGTTTAACTCTTAAAGCTAATTAACAAGGTCTGTGTAGGAGGAATTAAATCACATTTTATCAGATCAGAATGCGATCATTAAACCAGTCAAAATGACTTAAGCGAAGTTGTTTCAATGCTAAGCTACTGTCATATCTGGTGAGCTCTGCATTCCCAACATGAACAAATGCCATCATTCTACAGGAAGCAGAGGTACAGTTTTTACTTTGGCAAACTTTCTATTCACATATTGTATCACTTTTTGAATGAAGAAAATTGTTTGTACGAATCTGTTGCAGCGTCGTTATTATTTGATACTGGAGGGTTTAAGACTTGGTTGAATTGACATATTCAGACGGAAAGGAAGGAGATGGGGCTTTTGCCATGGCCTGATGGCCAGTCCACCCAACAGAAGCACTATGGCTGCTCATTTTACCGCCACTCATATGCGCAGACGATCGACGCATTTCATTCGTTTCCTTCACTTCCGACTTTCATTTCATAATTTACAAACTTATTTCACATTAATATACCGTTTTCCTTTGTCTAGAATAACATCCACATTAGCGGAACCTCGAGCAGATATGCCAACTCCATCTCCATCCCTCCATAGGGATGCTAGCAAGCTCAACGTAAGCCAGGCTCGCGAACGTCCACCACTTAATCGCTCCCTTGAGGTAGATGACGAAAACGGGAGCAATGGATTACGGGCACAGACTGCCTTCTCCTTCGAGGATTCCATCGGACAGCATCGAAATCCGAGAGTTGGGGGAGTAGGAACTTCGCGTCGCGTTTCCTCCCTCCGCACGCGTTCTACCCACGGCGGAGGCACCAGCGGAGGTGGTAGCGGCGAAATGACCTCTACAATGGCCTCTATGCTCGCCACTGCTATGCTCAGCACCGAGCGGTGTCCCTGGTGCCAGACGGTGCTGGAAACGCATGATGAGACTACCATTGGACTAGGACTCATCTGTCTAGCCACTTTTGTACACAGAGAGCCTGCTTTGGCCGCTCCATTCCTCATAGACATGCTTATGGTTGCAGCTAGAATTGCCACAACCACACTCTACACTTGGCAGAGGGCCCTGTAAGTTTTTTTTGCATTTGTTGCTAACTAAAATCTGAGTTTGCACCATTAAATAACGGTTTCCTCTCCTTAGACGTTCTGAGATGCCGACATCACTTCACGAATAATTTATTTAAGCCTCCGTCACTGTGTAATTTTTCGAGTTAGAGCAATATCTGTCAGTGGGTTTCACTTCACCGAATTTTCTTCGTTATACACATAAGGAATTTTTTCACTAGGCTTGATATGTTGCATCAATGCATTTCCTCAGTGAGTGTTTTCATCTCCTTGCTATCAATTTCATTAACCTTTTCTACCAAAGGTTGTCATTTTTGGAGTTATTTATGGGATTAGGCGAAATTCGACGTGGCTTATGAAGGTTTAACGAATAGGGAAAGACAAGGGTTGACCAGGATCTGGAAGTTTGTGCAAACTGGATTAAATCGTTTGGACAAAAATGACGTGATAGCAATTACAGGTAGTGGATTGAATTCGTCTACTTTATAGCAAGCCTAGTTGTGTCCACTGTTTCCACGGCTAGCGTGAACGGATTTTAGTCCGTCAATTTGATTGACTATTTCAGGACTTTTATCAAGACGTTATCATTCAAGGAGCCGAAACAAGAGAGTAGCTTTACAGACATGCATTAGACTAGACAAGTTCACCTTCCTTCACTTACCAATGTTTATTCCAAATAGCCTCATTTTAGTCTGGTTTTAAAAGGTCACATGAGGGCATAACAGTTGTAAAATTGTTTTCCAGCTCGACCATGTGACAGCTGTCATGTGGGATCAGGAAATTCAGGGGAGGTTCCTTTTGTCTCGATAAATACAGGATTATTCCCTCATTAATAAGCCTTTTGAAAAAATAAGCTTTAAACGTAATGATATAAGAGTGAATAGTCAACAAGAAGAAATAATTTTGACAAAATTTATGGCCAAGACTGTAGGCTCAAGTTTTTTGGAGAAAAAAATGTCTTACCGAGTTATTTATCGAACAGAATGGCTGCTGAAGCATGACTTTTCACATTCACTGAATTGATATGCCTTGCAATGTAGTAGGAATCCGTTGAAAAGCAAATATCTCACTTATAATGTGGTCTTGTTGAGTAAAATCTTAAAACCACAGCACATTCATCACTATTATAAAAAATGTGTCCCAATGATACACTCTTTTTCGTTCTCCTCTTCCAGACCAAACGTGATCGTGTCAGGCAATGTTGCCAGCATAGCTCGGCAGTTTCTACGATGCACAATGTACAATCTGGCGCCTAATGGACTTTTTACCCAACTCTTCCAAACACCTATACCGGGTGGGTTCCACGCCTAGGTAGTTGTCGGTTGGGGCGAGGTTTTCTGCCAAATGCACAAAACGAACTGCCTGTCTGTAGTGGAGACTGCCTTCTCTAAAAGCTTTTCCATTAGACAATGTTAATGCCTTTTCATTAGACTCCTCACTTTTCCACTGAAGTTAAACCTAAGTGGGAGTAACTTTCCAATCCACGGAGTGGGTTGAATTCAGCATCTTTTGACCATACTTTATGCACACAGTACGACTTTCTATCTTATAAACAAAGCGGACGTCCATTTCCACTGCTATGATATGGCTTGAGCACATTTTGGGAGTCTGCCATTATGCCCTATGCTCTCACCGCCCATAAGGGTGCAAGCTCATGCAATTCTCCGGATTTTCAGTCACATTCTGATAGCGCATGTGAAGATGCACGAGGTATGAATCCATACGACTTCCGCCTTCAAAGATACCTACAAATGTTAGAGATAGGGTAACTTCTAGCATGTCATATATTTTGACAGTCAATTCTTAGGGGAGAGGAGTAGTTCTGTCCCTCTTAATACTTACTTACCGGTCGGACCCCAATCGATGGGCTGGCTAGAAAATGGTCTCACTAATTTAGTACCACATAGTAAGTGAGGACTCATTATGCAGATTCAAAACATTTGACAGCGTCGCGTTGACAGTAGCAATTTTTTACAGTGGCAAAAAATTATTATTTCCTTTGTCACGATTAAAATGTTTAAAAAAAAATGCAATTTCGACTTGCGTGATTGAGAGCTAAGGTAACCGAAGCGATCAGCATTCCAATCGGTGGGCATTTCAGGCAGCAATTCTTTAAGACTTTTAGTCCAGTGGTACTTGACTGAAAATTTTGTGCACTATATGCTTACCACAAAAGTAAACTCACTCAATGTGTAATAAATGTGTGAGAGGAATGCTGTGCCCACCGTTTACCTCTATCTTGCTCATTCGACACAGTGTTTTGTCAGAAATCGTGTAAGGTGTAACAGTTTTTCAAGGTGATTGATAGATCCCAGCTGTCCAACTCTCATTTTCGTGGAGATATTGAGAGGTGAATGCATTTTTTATAGCTTTCGCAATGGCAAATAGCACAAAATAACAATACAATGGTGGATACCACCTCTGGCGTGTCTTGGAATGTGATTTCGTCCTTTGCGAAAACGTGCCTCTTTCTAGCTTACTTGCATTTTTTCCACTTCTCACGACCGGCACTGGTTAGCTTTTCCATGTCTAGTCTAGTATGGCCAACTTCAACGTGTCTTGGATACGTGCAGTCGCATCCCTCGTGGTGTGCCGCCCAACGAAAGCGGTGTGTAGGTCAAATTGAAGGTGAGATCATAAACAGACAGGTAAAAATGCTTGATGTCTGGACTGGATGGGTTGGCGAAATCCAAAACATCGTCACTTCTGGATTTGAGCATGCAAAAGATAGGCTTAGGCTGCATTCTAGTCGAATGTTCTGTCCTTTGTGCCTTAATGCGAAGTGACTGCAATTATTGAGGCGAGGAAATTTTAAAATGTTCATTCGATGCGTTAAACCAAATTGTAAAAACCTTCTGCCATGTATGACACTAATTCCGCATCGCCTACTCCTCTTGCAAAAAGGAATACGTGGAATTTGGCTGATAAAAGAGCCACTTCTAAGGGGAATTCGCACGGGTTTTCGGGCTACCTTAGACGGAGGTTGGTGAGAGGTGGTAGCAAAATGGCATCTTAAAATATATCTATCAAACAAGTTCATTTATTTGCCCAAAGTTTATTCACTTATTGTCGGTG